TAGGTAAGAGTGAAACCTTATATATGTTTATGTATTGTTTTCATATGATCTCTCTGTTCCTGATATTATTATAGTACCCCAAGTCTTACAGATTCTTGTATGTTTATCCCTGGCCATGTCAGTACAAACACTGTTCCCAAACACCGTCAGAAAGCCATTATTATTTCCTTTTTTCCCTCCTTTTTAGCTCGACTATTCAATAAGAATAAGCTGCGTAAGAGCGTCTGCGTCGGCGTCAGCGTCGGCTTCGGCGTAACCACTTATGTTAAAGTTTTTGTAATACCTCAAATATTTTCAAAGTCCATTGACATATGGCTTTGAAACTTTGCACACTTGTTCACCATCATGGACCCCAACTGTTAGACAGGAAGAGGTAAACCTCTATCAAGCATTTTGTCAGAATTATGCCCCTTTTTTCGACTTAGAATTTTTACGTTAAAGTTTTTGTAAAACACCTCAAATATTTTCAAAGTTCATTGACATAAAAGGCTTTGAAACATGTTGAAATTTTATACTCTTTTTTGAGAGCATTATAGGACTCTCTCCAAGGCGCTATAAGTGTAATATTGATTTAACCCATTACTTCATATACACGCCTTTTAAACGCCTTTGTCACCCCCCCCCTTTTTTGTGGTCTTCAAATGGTGAAAAAAATGCATTATTTAGGCCTTTAACACTTGTTTTTGTTTGAGAAATGTTGTTAAAAAAAAAAGTGGGACCACTTTTTCGGCGCGGCCCCCAAAGCGAAAGATACATCAGGGGGGTTGCCAAAAGGGGGATGTGCCCCCTTCTGTTTGGGGGGTTTGAAGGGGGGCGGAGTCCCCCTCATCGCCAAGAAAATTTGGACTTGTGAGAGGCTATAAATGACCCCAGATTGATCATAAGGTAACGTGTAACCAACGCTGAAAAGCATTTGAGACTCTATCTCAATCCATTGAGAAGTTTGCAGCACTTTGAAATCAAATTATGATGGAAAAAATCAACGCAAAATAGTGATTTTTGGCAATTTTGAGATGGTCCCCTCGTTGCCATGGTAACAGAAAATTTAAGCCTGAGCATGTTGTTGCAAGGGCAATGGTCCAGTCAACATTTGTGCCAAGTTTGATTAGTGTTGAAGCAGTTTTTATAGTATTATAGCAATTTGAACTTGTAACGGGAGACTTTTCAATGAAAACAGCCATTTTTCACAAAATGCTCATGAAGTAATGGGTTAAAGAAAAATTTTGCCTTTTTTTTATTGAGAAAATTTTACCTTTTAATCAAGGCTTTTTTTACTATCAAGCACTAAGAATAGTCGAGCGTTGTTGTCCTACCGACAGCTCTTGTTTTGATATAGAATGTTTGCCTTCTTTCTCAATATAGATATAGAATGTTTGCCTTCTTTCTCAATATACCATTAAGGATATTCAAATTTCAAACTTTTTTGCAGATTTTATTTTTAATGTTGCTTTAAGAAAAGTGGAGCGCGCTGTCTGTAAACAGGCCTTCTGTTGAATTTGAAGTCTCATGGATAGTTAACGAATTTCATAGTTAGGAATTCAAGATGACAAAGTTAACTATACATTGAACAAAACTTTTGCATTCATGTCATTAGGAGATAAGGTGTTAAACTTATGAATCCAATATGATTCTTTGAGTAAGCATTCTATATTAATGCTAAATACAGAAAGTTACAAATTCCTAATAAAAAAGGTTAATTGCAGGACTGCTCATATGAGAATGTAACTTTGAAATTGATATATATTTTATCCAATAATTTTTTGTTTGTACAATGTATCATTTCCATTAAGATAAAGGTTGATCTATTTTTAGCAATACAGTATCAATTTCTATTTTTAGATCCATTAGCAATGAGTCAGCAGCATCTCACTACACCGATGCTCTGTCCAGTTTCGAAGATGACGACGATGAGATATTTGATGGAGATTATATTTGCGATGTTCCCTTTATTCCAAGTGACGAACATATTGAAGCGTCCATGAATCCCCAGTTATTCCGTGATATGGAGAGTTTGATATTTCTCTACGGAGAAAAATCTATTAGTTACCGATTGTTTGAATCAATTGACGAAATTGACGTTGAATTGCACATTCCAATGGGATTTCTTGATGAGGTTACTGCAGATGCGTGGAAAGTTTTGAGGACAGAGCCGTTGGTAACACGGCTGCATTTGTCATTATCACGATACCTGGAGTCGTCAAATCCACCTAAAGTTGAAGTATTTCAACCATCTAAGAAAGAGGGTTTTGGGTTCGGAAGTCAAGTGCGTAAATTTCTTGAGAACTTTTTGTCGTCTGAATGGCCTCATTTGCAAAGAGACTATCAGGAGCATCTGAAGTTAGAAAAAATGCGAAAGTCACAAAGCGCTCCGGAAAACATCAAAGCTGAAGCATCAATGACGGACACTATTTCTGAAATTGTTCAGGATGCAGCCATTGCCCAGCTTGTAAGTATGGGTTTCGAACCTGATTTAGCAAGGAATGCGTTAATCATTACACATGGAAATATTGATGAAGCGTCCAAATTGATTCTTGAAAATCCAATTAAATGTGCGGAAGGGAATGTTGAAACCTTTGAGAATGTTAGTGCTGAAGCAGTACCCTCCAAGTCAGAATCCTCATCTTCTATGGATAGTAAAAAGCAGAAACCTTTTAGGTCAATATCACAATTGTCTGAGGATGAGAATGTTTTTCAGTTTGGAGAAATGGATTTATTTAATGATGAATTATTCAAAGGCACAAAGACTGATAAGGCAAAAGAAAAACCAGAAAAGAATGCAAGAACTGGTTTGAAGAGACAATTGTCGCATCCCACAATTTTAAATAAATTGAAACGTATGCTACCAGGTCTGTCACGCACAACCAGTGTTATGCCTGAACATAGCACTTCCCGTTTTATTGAGGATTTGAATTTAATGCCTTTGTCTACATTGGACGGGAAAAATGCCAAAGTTGTTCCGAGTATTGCTGATGGATTCTTGATTCAAGTTTTCAGATATGTGCGACAAAGAATTCCAACAATGAACGAGTATTGCGTAATCTGTGATGCCCAACATGTATTTCAAAATGGTGCAATGTTAAAACCAGCTGTTTGTAGCAGAGAACTCTGCGTGTTCGCATTCCAGACTTTAGGTGTTATGGCAGATGCTGCAGAAGACATTGCAACAGGTGCAGAAGTTGTTGATTTGCTGATTAATATGACGCGTGCAGCGGCCCTTTCAAGTCGTAATCAGATTATATTCGACCCTTTTCCAACGGTTGTCGATCCTGACAACCCATGTAATTTATTGTTTACACCAAAGAATCGTGACTATAACTTAATTAAAAAGGTGATACAAGAAATGCCCAGCATGTCGGATATGGCATGTATGACGTCGTCACTAAAACAGCAGTTGGATCAGAGTAACCGAAGTGTATATCCCTTAATACAATGGATTATAACTAGTAACAGGTTGGTACAGTAGCTATTGCTAACTTGTAAGTTTTAAACTATGTTTAATAAGGGCTGTCATTGATGGAAAATTTTATATCGATATATCGAGAGACAAATATCGCTGATATATTGACTTTGACAGTAGGTACAATGAAAAACATATAAATATGTGTTATAACTTTTGTTATTAATGGAGGATGTAGTGTTTTCATTCTTGAATTTAATAAACCTTTTGACACTACTTTTAAGGAGGACAAAGCCAACTTGACCTTGACCTTTATATGACATTGACCATAATTTGAAAAATTATAGAATGCCCATGACAGATTTGATTATTACTCAGACAGACCAACATTAATGACATTTAATTGTTTGATATTCATTGTATATTCATTTGTGCTTCTTCACTACTTTGAAATGTTTTCAAAATATTAAGAAATAAATTGCGATATTTCAGATCGCATATAGTGAAGTTACCACCAGAGAGACGGCTAGAATTCATGCATACACCACACCAGTTCTTACTTCTATCAAGCCCCCCAGCAAAGGAGGCAGCCTTTCAAGAAGCCAAGAAAAAGCATGGAAGTACATTTGCCTTTCATGGATCCAGTATAGAAAACTGGCATTCCATAATCAGGTAGACTTTTATTGTCACATTTCAAAATATTGAATTTTCTTTGATCTTTTACTTGCCTATTTTAAAAGATAAGTTTGGTTGAAACAGTCATTATGGCTTAAGCAAAGGTGTGACATCCAGGTAAAGTTTTGCATGCACTTGCATTTCTCTAACTAGTTTCATTTTTCGAAGAATAGAGAGATCTATTGTATTCATCGGCATCAGCATAACACTTTGATTAAATTTTTCTGTTTTATTATCAAGTACAGAGGATAGTCTAGTATGCTGTTGGCCCGAGGTTACAGAAACTTTTGAAACTTAACATGCTTTACACATTGTTTTCTAATTTTTGATCTTAAACTGATAGTACAAAATATATCATATTAGTTTACTATAACTAATCAAATTCCACTTGTACTTTGATTGTAAACCGCTTACTTACACAAAGTAAATAAACCTACCCAAAGAGAATAAATAAGATCAAAGTAAGTGAAGAAACTCAAAGTGAATAAAAGAACTCAAAGAAAGATTAGGAACTAACTCAGTAATTAAATTCAATGGTAGATAAAGTCATTGTGAATGAAACTTCACTATGAGGTCATTGTCAAATTTCCATCAGTCTAGCATGGCTTTTGATGAAACTACGTAAAGTTTCAAGTGTCAGTCAGACAGTGTAAATGAAATTTACCGTAAAATTTATCATATAATCTATTTATAGACAAGGTCTCATGAATGCGTCTGGTACAAAGTTGCAAGTGAATGGTGCTGCTTATGGTAAAGGGATCTACCTAAGTCCACATATTTCTACATCAATGGGGTATTCCAGGATGGGTTATGGCTCACACAGCGTGAACAAAAACAAGCCCAAGTCAGATACAAAGACTCGATTCTTAACTTCTAGCAATATTACATGTATTGCCATATGTGAGGTGATCACATCTCCATTGAAGAAGAACAATTCAATATGGGTATGTCCTGAACCGGACAACGTGTGTACACGATTTTTCTTTGTGTACGAAGATGGCCAAGTCGGAGATTCATCCATTGACACACAGAACAGTAAATTCTTGACACAAATTCAGGAAGCATGTGGATATAAAGTGTGACTTTTTCGAAAAAGTTTTGATTCAAAATTTAACCCTTACTCAGCCTGACATTTTATTACATATTTTTCTGGAAAATATCTAACAGTGAATTTTTTTTTTTCAATTTTCGAAACAATCTGTGGCTTTATGGAGGGGAAAATATAGCGCGAAAACTCAGAAAAGGGGCATACATTGTTGCATATTCCAACAACTGAAAATGAAATTTACTCAAACATTTTATAAGATTTTCTAATTTCAATTCTATTTAGCATGCATGGTACAAAGCAGAGGCATTTCTATAGGGACAGCTTTCTGTCTTCTAGCTGATATAAGTCAACTGCTGTTAAGTTATTGTCCTAGTGAAGCATGTGCACATGGCATTTTTGGGGAAAATAAAAGCATTTGAAGGGGAAAATATACTCATTTTTGGCAGGGGAAACAGGCTTTATTCAGCTGTAAAATACAGGGGAAAAAATCACTGTCTATAGTATTACAGGAATTTATTTAAAAAAGAAAATATGATTAAAAAAAAAATGTATACTTTTCATGGAAGAAAATGATTGTGAAAAGTGAAAATTGATTAGTAATATAGAAATCCATTCCACCAGGGTCTTTCTTTTTGAAAGACCCTGATTCCATTGAAGACTCAAAACTCTATTATTTTATTCAAGAATACATTGTTCTACTGGTATAATTTTAGTTATCTACGGGAAATAATGTCAGCACTGTACAATGTCAAAGACAACAATGTACATGTATATATTTTGGCGCAATAATATTATGAAGAACTTTCATTTATAATTACAAAAACACTGGTAAAATTTTGTATAAAAACAAAGAAACAAAAATGTAAAAACAGTATGCATGTATATATATCATAAGTGAAGAGTAACGGGGATTAATTGACCACTTTATTACTAGCCTGTTAAATTGGATGTTACAATCATAAAGCCAAAGGGACAGTGTAGAGTCGAAGAGGTATGCCCATGTTTGGTAGACAGCTGAAGCTTTAAGTTAACAGAAAATAAGATGCATTTTCCAAAGTCTGGGGAAAATGGTAACTGACGGGGTTTTGTTTGTTTGTTTATTTGTTGTTGTTTTTTTTTAAAAGGAAAGGAATTTAATGTTACCAGTTACTAATTTTAAAGGGCCCCTGTGGCATTGTGGTATTTTGATAAATACTTTTAGGTCAACATTCTATGCATAATATTTAGTGATTACTTCGCATGCATTATGTATAAAATTATGAACTTTGCAACTCTTACAATGACATCATTTTTGTTTTGGTCTTTCATTTGCATGTTACTTTTATTTTTGTATAATACTTATATTTTGTGTATACTTATGTGCATGTTTTAAGAATTTCAGTTTATTTTTTTTTTAGACATTTGTAAGGTTAAAAGACCATAGATCAGACTACTGTATTAATTTTCCCAAATGGACTTATATTATAATGACCACTAAACCAACCTTAAAATTGAGTATACTCATGCTAAAGATGTGATTTTTGACCGAGAATGACATGCCTGACATTCATTAAAATGATCTTACTGGTATTCTGATAATGTATCTACAATAGTGAATATTTCTTCTGCAGAGCAAATAACTATTATAACAACAGTATCAATTCTCTCAAAAGTAAGACTTCCCAATGAATTTGACCTTTCAAGAGCAGCACTTTTTTGCAGTTTCCAAAGTCTTTGTATCCCACTGGGTTTTTGCTCCGTAGACTAGAGCTTGTACTGGTTATTAACAAGCATGAAACACAAATGGTACCTTACAAAACATTAAATAGAAGTAATTTTAATCCCACAACATATTTTGCTTGAGTACATAGTATACCAACTTAACCGCTTTAACATGGCCAATTTCGACTTTAAGTTTAACATTAAAGACAGATTTAGTATTAAAATTGTCATATCATGCTTTATCTAGAATTACACATAGACATTCATCAATATTGTCATAGACATCAATATAGTCATAAACATCAATTTTTCATGTCACGTATAAACTTACATGCAATTCACGTTTTATCTTCATGAGTTTGTATTATACACCTTATTTCATGTTTTACATAGAATAACATGCATATATCTTCTATTATCACATAAATCACGGCGCAGGAGTGTAATAAAATCATTAAATGAAAACAATATAACACTAGTGTAATAACACTTTGACTGACTTCATTTGCGATATATAAACATAGCCTTAAAGTGCGCTAATGTTAGCGTTACACTATAGGCACGTCATTGTAAAATTACTTTTTTAAACAGTTTACCATTCTTATTTTATATACGTGTTAAATAGAATATTATATTTGTGTAGGTTTAATACTAAATTTATTGAACTTGTTGAATAAAAGAATATTATGCACGTATAATATGATTTTATTCAACTCGTTTGATAAATTTAGTATTAAACCTACACTCATTTAATATCCTCTATTCAGTTCATGCATCTTTTAAAGTTATCAGTATTTCTTGTTTTACATAAATAATTTATCACAATTTGATATATAAATTTCATGTTTTATGTGCATGACTATACACTTACTGTGATTTGAAATTACATAGACCAGTTTGTACTATCATTCTATATGTATTCTTCTAATTGAGGCGTCAGCTTTAGTGTTTGTGATACACTTAGTTAAAGTTTATATTCTTCATATTGTAACACTTGCATTTGATTGGATAATCTTATTACTTGATTTTGATATGTCAGTCTTGTTTATAGTTATCTTAGTTTTTTAATGGACCTTTCTATATTTTCATTTTTCAAAAGCCTTTTATTTTTGTGTCCTGTTATAGTTTCCAAAAAAGTTACCTATTGGTCAATTAATTGAACAACTTTTTTGCATCTGTTGCCTTTTGGCAATTAGTAAAATATGTAGTTATTTAGTATTTTGACTTTCTTTCAAAATACTACTTAATGTTTACATTTGCTATTTTTTATGACAGAATTTCAGACCCATCTAAGCTATTCTGAAACCATTTATTTAAGTCTTATAAAGTCATGTTTGCCTTTTCTAAAGAATGAACATTTGAGCCGCGTCACTACAAAACCAACTTTATGCATTTGCAACCAGCATGGATCCAGACCAGCCTTGATCAGGATCCATGCTATTCGCTTACAAACCCTATAAACAAGTAGAGAAACTGATAGGGAACAGCATGGATTCTGATCAGACTGCGCGGATGCGCAGGCTGGCCTGGATCCATGCTGGTCGCAAACACATAACGTTGGTTTTGTTGTGAGGTGGCTCATTCATTTAATCACTTTTGAGGCATAATGTACCTTTATGTGGAGGAGAAGCTAACCTCATACTCTTAAAGTCTGTATCAGACACTTAAAGTCTGTATAAGACATGTAAAGTCTGTATCAGGGATTAAATTATCCCCCAAGTTCATATTTTCGTCTTTAATATAAGTTTCTGTGTTGGTATTTTACTGATATTTATTAGAATCTTACTTTTTTGTACTGGTATTCTTGAATATTTTATACACATTGGATCAGGGCACACAAGGTCTTCCTCCGCCAGCCATGTGATCATAAAATTTCCCGTGTTACTGAAATCCTTACACCAAAAACTTAAGTCATATTTTGATATGAAAGTTTTGTTGTAAAATTCTAACATATGATTTATTATTCCTCATGCTTATTGTAAGCATTTGATTGATTAACTCTGTAGTCTTTTTATTGTTAATGGAGACCAATACGAAAAAATGGCTATTTCAAAGAGACTGCAATATTTTCTTTGTTAAGAAGCAAAAACAGGATATTTTGTAAAATTTATGTATTGGGAAATTGTTACTTGTAGTTGTTCCTTTAATTAATTAATTACTTTATTTATATTAATCCTTTAAATTAATATGTGTATATTAATATTTGCATTTTTATACTATAATGAACTATTTATGTTTTTTTCTGTGATACTGTTGAAAATGATATGCCGTTTTTGTAATCATTTTACATTTTCTTAAACTTAAATATTCCATTTGTTTAAAGAAGTTAATTAAAAGTGAATTTTCCAGCTCTTGTTTGTTTGCTATTAATTTATGTGTTACGCAAGGTTCTTTCAAATAGATTCAATTCTTTTTGGAAAACCCTGGTTACATATATTTATTTATCAGAGTTAAGAAATGTATGCATATTTGTAAGTTCAATACTTGAAAAGCCTTCCAGGAAGAGCATTTTTAGCTCACCTGTCACAAAGTGACAGGGTGAGCTTTTGTGATCGCTTTTCGTCCGGCGTCCGTCCGTCGTCCGTCCGTCCGTCCGTCCGTCCGTCCGTAAACTTTTACTTTAAATGACATCTCCTCATAAACCACTAAGCCAATTTCATCCAAACTTCACAGGAATGTTCCTTTGGTGGTCACCTTTAAAAATTGTTCAAAGAATTTAATTCCATGCAGAACTCTGGTTGCCATGGCAACCGAAAGAAAAAACTTTAAATATCTTCTTTTAAAAAACCATAAGAGCTAGAGCTTAGATATTTGGCATGAAACATCTTCTAGTGAGTGTCTACCAAGTTTGTTCAAATAAAAGCCCTGGGGTCAAAATTGGCCCCGCCCCGGGGGGTCATTGATTTTCCCTATATACATATAGTAAAAACTTAAAAAATCTTCTTTTAAAGAACCAAAAGAGCTACAGCTAAGATATTTAGCATGAAACATGTTCTAATGGGTGTCTACCAAGTTTGTTCAAATAAAAGCCCTGGGGTCAAAATTGGCCCCGCCCCGGGGGGTCATTGATTTTCCCTATATGCATATAGTAAAAACTTAAAAAATCTTCTTTTAAAGAACTCAAAGAGCTATGGCTAAGATATTCAGCATCAAACATGTTCTAATAGGTGTCTACCAAGTTTGTTCAAATAAAAGCCCTGGGGTCAAAATTGGCCCCGCCCCAGGGGGGTCATTGATTTTCCCTATATGCATATAGTAAAAACTTAAAAAATCTTCTTTTAAAGAACCAAAAGAGTTAAAGCTAACATATTTAGCATGAAACATGTTCTAATAAGTGTCTACCAAGTTTGTTCAAATAAAAGCCCTGGGGTCAAAATTGGCCCCGCCCCGGGGGGTCATTGATTTTCCCTATATGCATATACTAAAAACTTAAAAAATCTTCTTTTAAAGAACCAAAAAGAGCTAGAGCTTAGATATTTAGCATGAAACATGTTCTAATAGGTGTCTACCAAGTTTGTTCAAATAAAAGACCTGGGGTCAAAATTGGCCCCGCCCCAGGGGGGTCATTGATTTTCCCTATATGCATATAGTAAAAACTTAAGAAATCTTCTTTTAAAGAACCAAAAGAGCTACAGCTAAGATATTTAGCATGAAACATGTTCTAATGGGTGTCTACCAAGTTTGTTCAAATAAAAGCCGTGGGGTCAAAATTG